TAGTCGCGATCACCATGTTTTCTATGAGAGAATAAAGTATTCAGAGCTGCTACCTAATTGAAATTTTGAAAGCATGCAAAGCATATATCTGGAAATAATACTTAGGAATAATCTGTTATTAAAATCTTACTTATTGAAAAAAAAATCACTTATATTGACCTCATCAAATGAACTCGCTTCTTCAATATCTGTTATCATTTTCAAAAATGTCTCAAAAATTACAAAAATGTCCACTGATTCTTCATTTCGAATAGACCTGTGACCTGTGAATAAGAGTTTTTCTGTAAAAAGTATGCATAAAATTTGATACTTTAACATTATAATTGTTGCTAAATTTCAATAAACTTTATATAAGTATTGATTAAGAATAGATACAATTGGGAAACAGCTATTAAAAAAGAAAAATGAGAAATCATGTCATTTTTCTCGAATGCAATTAATCTTTTATTATAATCCATTAATCATACTAATTTAATTGTAGCCATTTAATCCTAAATACAATTGCAAAGACATGACCTATTCTAGGGCATTATCTTTTCACTGATCATTACTCATGACTTCTGCATTAGCTCATTCATTTAAACGATGGCATAAAATCCGCTAGCTTCTAGAAGACTATTAAATATGAAGACTAATCTCAACTTAACCAATCAACAATAGGTTGAACCATTTGTTCAACCTGCTATTGAAAATATTGTTGAAATTGTTGTATTCAAATTTGTTGAATTGAAAATCCTAGTGAGGAAATAATTAAATTCTGTTGATTTAATATTGAAAATTCAAACTATATTTTTGTAGTTACACAGGTTGCGTCGCGTGTTTAAAAAGTGCTTAAAGGTGCTTATTTTTTATTTACGTTATTTAAAAGCCCTTAAAGGTGCTTTTTTTATTCGAGGTTTGTAAAGAGTGCTTAATTTTCTATTTTTTAATAACAGATTTTTTTTTCTTTGTCATGTCAATTGTCGTTCTAAATTATTAAATATGCATGATTCTAACAATTTTCTCTGCAATATTTCTCATTTTATCATGATCATGCTGCGTTTTTCAATTTTATTAATTTTATGTTTACAAATTAAGAATTTTAAACGATAGAAAAAACAATTTTTATTCCAACATATTATTCTAATTATAATTTTTCTGGAAAGTGATTAAAAATATTTTTGCGTGCTTAAAAAGTATTAAAAGTTGCTTTTTTTTTTGTTGTTGAAGTATAGGGCTACGCACCCTGCTACAACAGATTATTGATTTCGTGGTAAATGTAATATATAATATATAATCAATCAATTTTTCTTTGATTATTCCTAATATCTTTATTAAATTAATAATTTTATAGTTTTACTTTTATTGACTTTCTCAGTATTTTTTATCCAAGTGTTAAGGACAAATAAACAAACTATTAAACATTTTTAAATATTTATTAAAGTGTTCTGAATTACTTCGAAACGTATGAAAAATATTACCGACTATGCTAAACATATTACTGCTTATGCTGTCACATAAGCAGTAACTCAATGATACATTTAAACCGAATTAAATATTATTATTATTTTTAAAAATTATTAATTATCGCTAGACATGAAATTAATATGTTTAGTACTCTATCTCGTAAAAAATGTGTTGAAATTGAAAATTATACGGTTTTTAGATTGTTTTTCATGAATGTTGTAACACACTGTCGGGAAATATATCCAATTTTTACAGATTACTAGGACCGGCAGGGTGGATAGGAAATTTCGTAAAAATATAATAATAAATTCGTAACATTTTAAATTTACGGATTAAAATCTGAAATTTTATAATTATATGCGAATAAAATTTTATATTTAAAATTAAAAAAATTCATAATTATATACGAATAAAATTTAATAATTAAATTATGAAATTTCATAATTAAATTATAAAATTTCATAATTAAATTATAAAATTTCATAATTAAAATGTAAAATTTCATAATTAAAATATAAAATTTCATAATTATATACGAATAAAGTTTACTTATTAAAATAAAAAATTTCATAATTATATGCAATATATAAAATTTGAGATTTATGCACATTTAGTGAGACTACACAACTTCAAGAATCAACAATCACAGACTTAATTTATAAAACTAAATAGGAACATTGTTTATGCAAAAAACGTGATTTGTGATATTTAATTTTGGTAAAACTTACGAGAAGTAAAAGAAAATTTCACATATCATTATCAAAAGTTATGAAATAATTAGATAGAAAAAAAATGTATGTAATTAAAGTTTAACACTTACGAATCTTTAGTTTCAAACTCTTACGATCTACTATTTTAAAACACTCATAGAAAGAGCATCCATAAAGATTTGTTTATATACATTTGAGGTCATTGAAACTCGGAAATTCCTACTGAAAAGTATTTTAAACTTATATTAAAACAAGTCTTTCTTCTCTTTCGATCTCGAGAATTTCTACATAAAAATGTTAAAAATATTTAAACCCACACCCGTAAAAAGATGAAATATATTTTTATTTTATGCTAGTTTTACGCACATTCAAATGATATATGAAATGCTTTATGACCCTGAAAGATTCAACAGAGCGATTTTAGAAATAAAAAAGGTTTTATGCTCTTTTCAAGATCGCCTACATCTAGTTCTAAAGAAACATTTATAAAAATGAAATGACTCACTGAAAAAAAAACGCTAACGTAAACTCATTAAAGTTGCACCACCGGACAAACAATATAAAGTTCCATTCAAAAAGATTTACTTTCAGCATTGAGAATAGTTTTGAGTCTTGATTTAAAGAACTGACCTTGACAGTGTTAGATGTTGAATCGTCTTTTGCGCTAACAATTTTGGGTGTTCCCAGCTTCCAAGACTTTCAATTAAGATCAAAGATAAAAGAAGTAGTTTCTGTTTTATAAACAATTTCATCGGACTTCAACATCATTTTTTACTTATAGAAAAAAATTTGTTATTTATAGATTCACTTCATTAACAGGAAGCCTTTTAAGCATAAGTTTTAGAATTAATTTCTACACACACAGAACCTTTGTCATTTCTGAATTAGAATAAAAATTAAGAAGCATTTTTGTAATTGGCATAAGCAGTTTTTCAATGGTTTAAAATTTTCAAATTTTTGAAAAATGGCTACATGTTTATCACGTTGAATATCAGGCTAATTTTACATGGCTTGCCCGTCTGGCCAAAATGATTTTCTCAGTATGCATTGCATATTTTGATGAAATATTATTTACAGCAAAACAGCTAATTTTCGTAATCATTCGTGACGCATTTAATTCACTTTGGTCCACCGGTAATCCCCATGGCATTCAACGTGTTAAGGTTACATGCTATATATGTATATAAATAAAACTATTTTTGTGTCTTCTATATAGCATTAATTTCTTCAAACCATTTTGGTAACGATAATAATATAAAAAATTAAAATCATTAAAAATTTACTCAAATTATGTGTTTCTAATAATCTTGGCTTCGCCGGACACCAGTGATCCCCGTGGGACTACGAACAAACTCAGTGCCGGTCACCGGTGACCCTTAAGGCATTTAATGTGTTTAAAAAAAGTGGACATTTTTTAAAAATGCCACAACTGGCCTCTGGCGAGTAGCAAAATTATCTAATTCCCCCTGTACCTGTTACTAAAATTAATTAAGCATCATTTGGCGACAAAAGTAATAGAGCAATTTTTTATGATTTGCCTACATTAATGAGATTTTTGGAAGAAGCATTTCTTTTTGCTTAAACTTGTACCTATTACAAAATTTAAATATAATTTGACGAATATATTTGAAATAAAACAGATAAAATATCTATCTAATGCTTTTCAACATAAATTTAAAAAAATTTTGTTCGAAATTCGAACAAATAATAGACCTGAAAATAATGTATTCTTTAATTACTTTTTTATTCTTTTTTATTATTTAGAAGAATAGAGAATAATAATTCAGCAGAAAAGTAACGGCCCCAGGTATTTGCTCGATAGGGGCATCCAGTTGGCGACTTAAGACATTTAAATTTCAAAATCTATTGATTTTTTTTTAAAAATCTATTGATTATTTTCCACTTGAACATTTAAAAACTATTTTACACATGGAATAGGCATTCTTTAAACATAAAAAAAAGTTTATATCGTTTTTTTTTTCAGACAAAATGTCAGTAATTTTTTATATCATTTATATAATAAGAGATAAATAGATTTAATTTTTACATTTAGTAAATAATTTAAATAGATTTAGACTTTTACATTTCCTTACAGCGTTCTGTTTATGTGTCATTTATTTATATATGTTGTATTACACTCTAAAAACTGTACCTCTTAAATAAAAGGCACAAGCTAAATGTACCCTTTATTTTCTCGCGTTAGAGGCACATAACTAATGTGCCTTTAAAAATGAGAGGCACCACAAGAAATGAAAGGCACCAAAGCAAACGCGAGTCAATGCGCGGTACGAAAGGATTTTACCGGTTCCCTGTGCCTCTCAAATGGGCTTCCCTTTTTTTTCTTCGGTACGATGTAACGGAGAAGAAGCGCATGCGCACATCAATGAAATATTTTATGACGAAATACAAATAATAAAAGCAGACGATAAAATTAGAACACCAGAAAGTTGTTGATTTTTTAGAATTAGTTTTGTGTGGAATTTGAGTTTTCATATTACCCGTTACGGGTTTATCTAGTTTGTTTTATGATATTTTATCTATCCCGTTACGGGTGAGTTTTCATATATCCCGCTACGGGCACTTTTTCTAGTTTCCTTTATAAGATTTAACTATCCCGTTACGGGTACTTTATATTTGTTATTGTATTTGTTGTGGTGTGAAATAAATGTTTTTATAAAAAAACTGAACAGTTCTTTAATATAGCTTGATACGCTACAGCTATGTATTAATTGGTGGCAGCGGTGGGATCCGTTCCAGAAATGTTTTATTAAGTTTTTGAAAGAATTGGTGACAAATATTATTGTTATTAAGGATTTCCTACTTTAGAAAAAATTAGTGAATGAGATGTTTAAAATTGATGCCAAGAAGTGTGGAATTCGACGGTACTTCGAACTCTTTGAACAGAAAGCGAAGAGATTTAGTGTGAATTTCGATCTTTGGTTTTCGTGTGCTTTACAGCTTATTCCTGCTGAAAGGTCAGAAATTTATGATGATAATTATTATTACTTTAAAGAAAATCTCATTGCCAATTTTCAGTATGATCCACAAGCTATTCCGTGTAATAACGATCGCCAGAAAGAACATTTTAATGAGAAATGGAATTCGCCAAGTATTGTGAAGAAATTTAGATCTGAACGTGAATGTTTCTATTGTGGTGAAATAGGACATTTTAAGAAATACTGTAGACATCGAAATTCGGATTATAGAAAAGAGAATTATATCCGATTGTTGTAATCAAGTTTAAGCACGAAAGTAATTTTTATTTTAATAATATTTATAAAACAAATGCATGTTTAATGATTGGGGCAAAAATGCAGAATTTCACGTTTTTTAAAATACAATAAAAAAAAAAAAATTCTGAAACAAGCTTTCCAAAAAAATTGCAGAAGGCTTTTCATATATTCTGAGCTCAAATAAAATCATCGATTAAATAATATTAAGTACAGTTAGTTCTAAAAAAATTGAAAGCTAATGTTCCCAAAATGGGAATGATGGCGCCTAACGGGTTAATATGTTTCGCCAAAATCTGGATTTTAAAAAAATTCATTTCAATGGAAAGAAATCTTTTATTTTACACTTGTTAAGTCATTTGTTTAAGCATATTTCATGTTATAAAATATCCAAGTTGTCAAAATCTACATCTATCATTTTAAAATATTCTATGTTTTTCCAAATTTGTGCAACTGTATACATCATATTGCAACTGTTACTAAATTATGTAAAATTGTTCTTTATGTGTGAAAATAAAAGATATTAGATTTCATGATATTTAGTGTTTAATTTTTGATCCTTATAAAACTATTTTATGAAATCTCTAAATATTTAAAAAATATCTAAATTTATAATAAATTTCCATTTTGAGGATGCTTTTTGGAAAAGAAAAAAAATCCATGAATTATATTGACTTGGCTTAACAGAAATAAATATTATCTTTTTGTACCTATATCTGATTAGAAAAGCATCATTGTAGTTGTTGAAGTATCATTAAACGCTACATAATTAAAGAAATGGTATAAATTTACATATTTTATAATTGTCTATGAAAAAGCCTTAGATGGAATCCCTTGAAATGATCACTTTCAAGTGGCCAATATTCAAAGAATTGAGAAATATTTTTCATTAAGAATTATTATAATTAATATCTTGGTAATAGTGTAAACCAAACAGAAAGTCCCTTTTTATATAAAGTGCTAGCAAATTACAAATAGGTAAAAAAAAATGTGTTCAAATCTGGTAAATAACAGGTTTTGGTACCACTAAATGCTTGTTTCAATGAGCGGTACATAAAAGCAAAATCTAAGGTACAATGTACCTTCCAAGTTAAGAGGTACATCTGATTTTGCCTCTGAAATCAGAGGTACATTGTGCCTTTCATTTTTAAAGGTACGTTGTGCCCTTAAAATTCAGAGGCACAAACGATCCAAATGTGCCTCTGAAATCAGAGGTACATTGTGCTTTTCATTTTTAAAGGTATGTTGTGCCCTTAAAATTCAAAGGCACAAACGATCCAAATGTGCCTCTGAAATCAGAGGTACATTGTGCCTTTCATTTTTAAAGGTACGTTGTGCCCTTAAAATTCAGAGGCACAAATGATCCAAATGTGCCTCTGAAATCAGAGGTACAGTTTTTAGAGTGTACTAAACTATTACTTTATGTATTTACTTATATTTATAAACTATTGCTTTAATTCATTTTACTTATTCTTATTACTAAACTGTTCATAAAGTCTTAAAATCTAATGAGTTTTTTTGAAATTAGACTTTATAACAGGTATGTCATATTTAGCACAAGCATTATATTTTATGAATTATAAAATTTGATTTTCGAACAAATTTAATAAGGAAGTTTTTGGTCACTACAGTTTTAGCATTGTTTAGGAAAAATTACAAATGTTAGATTTGAAATTAAAAAAAAGGATTTTACTACAGAATAATTTCTGCTTGCTAACATATAAGAATTGGATTAAAAAATATATTTAGATATTTTTTCGTTTTTTTTTGGCGTTCTGTTTGAGTCATTTATTTATTTATTTTGGCATTTCTATTGCATTATACTTCTCTTTTTATTGCAATTTAATCGGCCGTTCACCCCGGGCATACTCACACCTCCTGATCTTAAGAAATGAGATGCACAGCACTGAACTGGGACGAAAAAAATTTCATATGTTTCCAAATTTTGCTACGTTTTTCAAGTTATAAATGGTAGAAGTGGCGTTACTAGTGTTTCATTAATATGATTGAATTGTTTTACAAATCACGAAATTTCAGTAATTTCTTGAAATTCTTAAGCGAAAATCTTAATTGAATTATTCGTGTTGTGAGGTATTGACAATAGATCTAATATAATATTAATGCTAGCAATGAAATCGGAGCCAACGAACAACTCAGCCATATATTCAGCAACGAATTTTTAAATTCCAATTAAATTTTTTTGTACTAAGTTTATAGTTACTGGATTCAAATTTCACTTCAAAAACATGCGAATTGGAAAAAAACAGTCAACATATCTCAAACGCCGAAAATAATGCGAAATTCAATAATAATAACTCAATAATGCATAAAATCTTTCTCATAAATTCAATACCAATACCATTTCTACCCTAGTCACATCAGCTCATCTTGATGGCCTGGAATCTTGTTTTATTTATATGAATGCTGACTCCCTTGTTAACGATATTAGTTGCTCACAGCCTCTCAGTAGCACGTGGAAATTCATTTTACCCTGATTAGCCCCTCTCGGCCGCTGTGGTTTTTCTTGTTCTGTTTTTCATATTCTTTTCTGTTTTCCAGTGGCAGCTTTACGTTTTTATTTTAAGCTACTTTTTTTTCTCCTCATTCATGTCTAGCTAGTCTTGAAATGGGAGCCATTATATTTGAGCACTTGAAACATGTCGATTGTTATTTCCGATTTGTATGTTTATGAAGCGCATGAAGTTTTTGATCAAATAATATATTTCAGCTTCAGTTTCTTAGGATTATTCAGTTAACCAAGTTTAATGGTAAACGAGCAATAAGAGAGTAATACTTTGTTATAATTCCATGTGTTATCCTTTTTATGTTAAAATAATTATGATTTAATAATAATAATAATAGTACAATTGTAATAAATATTACATTAATAATGTAATATTTTATTACAGCTGCGGCAGATCACAGCATTGGAGAAGCAGATGCCAAAGAATGGTAATGATGACTATCGCAACTCTAGTCGCCACAGTGGCAGGCCTCCTCCAGGTTCAACGTCTAGCTCAGAAAGGAGCTTGCACCGAAATCTGCAAAGAATCAGGTCTCCAGATAGCAACCAGGAAGACAGACCGCAACAAGCAAGCAAACGAGAGGTCCGTACAGCCAAGAACCTCGCCATCATCGTCGTGTTCTTCATGATTTGTTGGATGCCACTGTACACAGTGAACTGTGTCCAAGCGTTTTGTAGTGAGTGTACAGTCGCACTTTGGGTCGTGGACGCTTTCATTGTTTTGTCTCACGTCAATTCAGCCCTAAATCCATTTCTGTACGCGTACCATATGAGTGATTTCAGGAACGCTTTAAAGAAACACTTCTTGTGCGACGGTGGTAAAGATGGTAAGTGTCCGTTGCGCAAAAAGCCGAGGCTCGTGGAAATGGAAGCTTTGTCTGCACCAGCTTTGTCCAAAACGGTGAATAAACCTAGTTCAGATGAGAAAGCAGCTTTCACTGACCTCGGGTAGTGAATATTCAGCTTTTTATCATTTTAAAATTAATATTGAGTTGAAATTCAGATTTAAAGCGGTGTTTAAGTTTGAGAACTGAGGTACATACCGAGCCTAGTGAAAATGGAGGCTTTATTTACGCCAGTTTTGTTCAGAATGGCAAAAAAAACTAATCCTGATGAAAAAGCTGCTTTTGCTGATTATGAGTTGTAAATGTGAGTTGAGTTTTGGGACTCAAAGCAGTATCCGAATATCATTCAGTAGAGAATGGGTGTTGAAAAAAAGCGTATTGCTTTAGGGAGTGGAATAAGTCTGAAAAACAAGTATCATATGTATAGAAAAGTGTGGAAATGAGATCTTTGTCATTATTATGATATGAAGCCTAGATTCTTTCATATCCGTTCATAAATTCCAAGACAAAGTGATGATCTCAAAGCCTTCTACTTAAATTTTTTGCTATAATTTTCGCGTTGATTTTCGAACAAATTTAGCTACTCATAACTTTTTTTTGTTAAAGATAATATATCGTAAGTTCTTTTTCTAAACCATAATCTGTCACGTACAGAAATGATATTTTGTAATTTTTCTAACAAGTATGTAAAAAAAATATTTTTTTTGAATAAAAAATACAATTATTGTTTTTAAAACTGAATTGAGATTGTTAACAATGTGTAAGTTGAATCCAAATTATTTGACCATATTTGATACGTAATAAAAATTTAAATAAATTAATTGTTTTTTGCTAAAGATTCAGGCAGACAAAGTTTCTTCGAAGTTAAGGTGTGAAGTGCAGGCCGCTGTTCCAGTATTCCGGAGCTTTAACCAGTTGAGAGCGGACTTTAATTCTAGAAATCTTCCACGGTATGCGGAATTAAAAACAGACAATGACGTGTATATACGCCGAACGCAAGGCGAACGATATTATTATAAGTTTTGAGAAAAACTAACCACCATTTGTTTAACAGTTATAACCTATATACATAGAACCTTTTTCTTACCCAAAAAGGAAGTACTTAGTACTTACTCCTCCATTGTGTGTAACTTAAATTCTACGATTAATTCTTCATTTTATTGTTTCACAATATTTTTTCATGTCCTTATCATTTTCTTCCCGTAAAAATGCTGGGAAGCATGCTAGTAAAATAACTAAAATATATCATTTAATCGAAGTGATGTACTTTCCAAAAAGTTTCAGATAATTCTCGTTTTCTTTGTACTGTTTTCAAAGAAATAAAAACAATATTACTGAGTAATGAAGGATAAGAAAACTTTTTACGTTTTTACAGATAGTTTGTAACACAAATGAAGAAAAAGAATTATTTTAAATAATGACATAGCAATCTCCATGTGGCATAATACCTATTCGGCTAAAGACACGGAATTTGGTGATTTAAACTGACCAAGATATTAAAAAGGTCAATGCCAACTTTGTTGATTGGCCGCAAGCCAAAACTTTTACTGAACAGTGGACATACAGTTATTGTATTTAGAACAAATAGCATATTTTATGGCAATGCATCTATCATCATGACAAAAAGGTATAATAGTATGCAAATACTATTGCATGTTTAAACTTGGTGCTGAGATTCAAATTTTGCCATTTTAATGAACAATAACTATTTATATGTTATACATTTGATGTTAATATTTAAATTCTCAAAGTGGATCAAAATATACCAATTTTTATACATATCTTGTAGAAATATTTTAGTTAATATTTCTAATTAATTGATGTGATAAATTTTCTGTATAAATACAGAATTGTACATACCTTTCTACTGAGCGCATTCAATTTTGATCATTACTAGTCATGTTCTATTTTTAGTGTTTGTTATGTCTTATTTATTAATAATATTTGTTACTTTTCAAGTTCCTTTTCCAATAATACTATCTTTGACAGTATTTTATTTTGGTTCAGCACAAACTTTGAAAATCATAGAAATGAATGAGTGCTTTTTATAGTTATTCTTGTTTAATAAGTTTTTTTGTTGTGAGTGTTACTCAATATGTATTTAATGTCGGTAACATATTCTCATTATTGTTCAGAGTTGAGACTACAAAAGAAAGTTAAATATTATCTGTTTATTTATTTTAAAATTCATTTAAAATACGCAACAAAATTCCATTAAAATTTTTATCGAAATTAACTTGATTGAAATTTAAATTTTTTACACAAAATGCTTTATTTATTTGTGCCAAATATTATTGAATAACACAAAAGCTTTCTGTGATTTTGAAATCACTCAAAACGTCTTAAGGTGCATTATATTTTGGAATAGGTTCATTTAATTAAAACAACTTTAGACTTCACATACAGTAATTTATTTTACATTAAGACTCACATAATTTAACATTCACATTATACAACATTCCCATAAACCATCATTCACATAATACAACATTTGTGTCTCACTATGAAAACTTCAGGTCTACTTTCCAACAAACTTTTTAAGCTTATACTCAAAAATAAATTTATTAGTTATAAAATTAAAACATTATATAGTAAGACAATATAAGACATGAACATGATAAAATATTAACCACATAAATAGCAATAACTGCAGCATTGCAATAACTGCAGCAATTTTTGGAATTGTTTAAGGTAATATGAAGCTATCAACATATATATTTTGAATCATTCTTTTCCAAGTTTCTTAATTAACATTTTATAACACCCTTTAATTTATACATACTTTATTTAAATTATGCACCCTTTAATTTATGCATGCTATTGTAATTAGAGATTCACTATTCAAACCATAATTAGGAACTTTATTGCAAATCTATGCGCTAACGGCAAAAATATCGCAAAAGAGTAACAAAATAAAGTGTATACTTACATTAGTTAAAACACCCAAAAAAGTCAAATTTTGATTTCTCCAACTACGTAAGGAAGTCCAATTTGCATAAACCCCACCTTTGAAAAGGTAGTGTCACTGAGGTTTGTAAGATGTCCATCTTACAAACTCTGAAAATGAAAGTTTACAACCTTTACTCAGGTACTATCTATATATATATTTCTCTTACATGGCGACAAAAAAAAGCCTCATTACAACTCCCCGAATGGCAACACTAGAAAATCGACTAATGGATTGCAGCTAAAAATGTCACATGCCAAATCTAGCTGAGATGGCTCAACATATAGCGCTTTTAAAAACGGAAACTGAAATAACCAAAGAGAGCATAAGCTAGGCAGAAGTGAGTAGTCTTTGTCGATAGATCCCTATTTCAGTATTTTGTCGAAAGCGCTTTTTTTTCACGAATTTATATATTACGAATTTATTTGACGATTTTAGATTTATATCACGAATTTATTTGTTTTACTAGAATTTATTTGTTTATGCAGATTTTTCCATTGCATTTCACGTATTTCAATTTTTAATAGGCTTAATTATAGCCAAAATTTTAACCTTTTTAAAGAGATATCAGTTTTAGAAATTTTATCTTTAGATTTTATACTATAGCACATTTCTAATAGGTTTAACGAATTACATGTCATTTATTTGAATTCAAATTTATTTTAATGACTTAGTATTTACTAAAAAGATGTCATTTAAAAAAAAAAAAGTTGTTATATGGATTTAAATGATTGTTTTGAATTCTTTGAATTTTGTGCATTTGCAATGTACCTAAGTTAGTAGCGAGCGAAGCAAGCTTGGTTTGCGAAGCAAACCATATAAGATTGCGTTGCAATTTTCGGGGGTTGGCGAGCGTCAGCGAGCAGGGGTCACAGCCCACTAGTTGATTTAAATAGGGCTGGCCAAGAGAATCTCAAACAATTTTCTGATGCGGCACCTTAGCGAGATTTAAAATTCTTTCACAGCTCTAGAGTCACATATTTGTCTGGGGCATAATATTTACCCTTACATATAACGTAACATATTACATATAACGTATAGCCGGCTCGTGCCGATTACAGAGCTGACGTAAAATATCCTCAATGGTAGACGTATCTTGGGTTAGAGTCCCCCTGACATCAGGATAACCGTGGGAGGTTTTCGTGGTTTTTCTCTCCATGTAACGCAAATGTGGGTTAGTTCCAGGAGTTATCTTGTCTTCTGGATCGGGCTCAAGATTATGATGCTACGTAGTTGAACATTGGTAGTCTTAATCTCAAAATTGAGCCGATTGTCCAACGACGGTTATAATATCTGCGTAAGACTACGAATTCAGAAACTATGGAAGTAAATTGTAAGAATATGAGCGAATATTGTAAGTTTATAACGAATATAGTTAAACTAATAAAGCATAAAAGAATATAGTAAGTACTACTCATACTTGGAATTCCCTCAAGTTTTTGTTAAATGATTAATATTATTATTACTATTACAACCATAAGAGAAATATATGAACAAGGAAAATTAAAATCCATGCCTGAAGACATTAAGAATTCCTTTAGTACGATTGGTAAGCTTGTTGCTCTTTACAAAACTTTACAAATCTTAGAAATTGATATAGTTTTTATTCTGAAGCTATATTGTTCTTTCAACCCAGATTTACCAAAAAAATCGACCATAGGAGAGAAATAGCGAAATAAATTTCAACCCTCAATAGCTTTTTTTTTATATTTGGGACAGCATACTCATTTCCTATACGTATCCAAAACTTTATCAACCGTAACTTGAAACTTTTACCCTTTGAGTAGCATTAATATTTAAGAATTAATTTCAATCTTAAACTACTGAACAAATCGAGGTATAGCATGGTGCTGGGGCGCAGACTTTGGAATCCCCTAATGTAATATTTAACCCACTTCTATATTTTATTATTAATAAATTAAACACTTAATCTTTTTCAAATTGCAATGATCGAATTATGAATAAGTGTGCTAACATTTTCTCTTATCTTCAAATTGTCTTGCACTAATTTTTTAAACAAAATTATTAAGAAATAACATTAAAAAATTGAAAGTATGTTTGATTTAATGATGCATAAATGTTTGATTTATGTTTAACATCTGATACTTTTGAAATGTAACATAATACCAAATCATTATACTTAAAGTTGTGGTGTTTTCT